TTAATAGAGTACTGCTAAAATTTATTTGTCACATCTTTGTTACATATTAAATAAACGAAACGAACAAGATACAGGGACAAAGAAATATCGCGCGAGTCGTGAAAATTTGTATATACCGTATATCGCAATGTACGTAATTCTAATTTAATTCTAATAATTCAGGCGAGTGGAGCAGGAAGAACGGTAGAGAGAGGTGATAGTGCTTCGAACGAAATACAGAGTACTGCAGGGACCGTGTGGAACACCATGACCTCGCTAACCAAGCAACGAGTAAAATTGAACATGAAATTGTTGGGCCAATTCACGGGTCAACAACCAAATATGAAAGAAGACAAACCTACGTACAGAGAGCAATTTGTTTCACCTCAAATGAGCATGATATCGTACTTTTTAATGAAGGCAAGTAAATGAAAACTATGAATTTTACGCGATCCGATTATATAAAATATCTGTTGTTTTCTTCGTTCGATGCACAGCCACAAATAGATAGCGAGTACGCGGATGAAATTGATTACGATTCGTCCGATTCCGCGGTATCGGATCTAGACACGTCCGAGGACGAGGAAGACGTGTTTGACACTAACTCGAAGCCAAAGAGCAAACCAAAGGACAATACGGAACACACGAATCCAAATTCATACAGCTGGTGTGTCATGCGATTAGCCATAGTTAAGATACTGCAGCAACAACTCCAAGAGTTTTTAAACGTTGCTGGAATAGAGATGCAAGGTATTCCCTACGACAGCGACTGAATTTCTTTCTCTCTAGACTGAAAAACTAGAAAGTGATGTACATTTTTTTTCTTTCTTTCTTTCTTTCTTTCTTTTTGTCATGTTATTAGAATTACCTGTAAACAGTCCTTTGATTCACGGTACGTTAGCCGTTGTGGCACAGTGGCAAGAAACGTTGCGCGAAGAGTTGGACAACAGAGGACCACCGCCGATCAATTACATTCCTGGTTGTGCACCGGATCCGACGCCTACACCGGGGAAGCCAGCAATTCACAAGTACCGGTCTTTACTTGAGAAAAGCAATACTCCTTTCAAGTAAGATTGCAAATTCAATGTGAAACGCGTGCAAACAAATATTTGTTGGAATTATATATACTAGGAACGCCTAGCGAACTCTAGGTTTTATTTTTCATTTACGTTTTTTATTTTACAGTACACGTTTGGCATCAGCGGCTCCTGCTAACCGATTGTGGTGTTACTTGGTCCGACAAGAGTTGGTACAAGAGATATTTATCCGAGCCGTATTCGGCAAACGTAGATCTTTATCGTCAATTTTGGAGAGCAACCAAGCTACGATTGATAATTTGAATCGCGGAACGACCGCAGATGACAAAGGTAGCGACAGCGGGACTACTAGTTTGCCAGAACCTGTTCGTATCATTCACAAGGAACAAGATAGCATCAGTGCCTTTTGCCTTAATCAGGTTTGATTTGTCTGCTCTCTCTCTCTCTCTCTCTCTCAACTTGTAAATATATACATACAGTTTGGTTTGGAAAAAGACGGGAATTGCTGACGTTTGCTGATGATTGATGATTCAGGTGAATCCAGGTTTAATGGCGTTGGCAACTCCCCGAGAAGTGCAAGAAATGAATATATCGCTGTTGCTCGAACTGCCGTCTTGGCTGGAAGACGAGTGTGAATTTGACATTATAAATTTAAACAAACAACCAGAACCGGAACCAGTGCAACCAACTAGTTTCTTAGTCATTCAAGTAAGTAAATAAATAAATAATTAGTTGCACGTATGATTTGTAATAATATTTTCTCTCGTCCGGAGGATTCGAGATACTCTCGCGTGTATTGTTTGTAAACTAGTTTTTCGCTTTTGTTACAGACAGCAGCAGACAGGCCGTTGCTTGCTCAAAGTCCACAAGCGAATAATCCTCCGCCTCAATCGGGTATTGCGAGTCAAAGTGGAAGAGGAGCTAGCGTGGTAAGTTTTCCCCAGTATCGCAATTACATCCATTACGAAATTACATCTAATTCGTATACTTTTAAATATCCAGCACTGTACAGTATCGTATATAATATTTGTCTTTTAAAACACTTACATCTGTACTTGTTTCGTGTCCCTTATTCGGACTTGACCCAGATGTTTCTGATTTACTATCCGATGTTCTTTCTTTCTTCCATGTGTACATATATACATCCATGCGTTGTTCGATAAACAAATAACAGGGCGGGAGGGAGGGGTTCAAGGTTAGGTTAAAGAGAAAGGGTAAGGTTTGCGTTAACGCTAACGCTAACGTGCATTTCAGGAATGTTTGGGTTGAAGGGAAATTGAGCGACATAAAAATAAAAAATAATAACGTGTGAAGGAAAATTGAGGAAATTGAACGTACAATTTTCTCGATTACCTTTACTTTAAACATTTTTGTTCTGCTTTCGTTTTCATTTACTTACGATTAGGATATTACCATCCAATATTATCAAGCGAAAGATTGAAATTTCCAGCTAAACAAAAAAGTTTTGAGCGCAATCTTTTAAGATCTGTAAGAAAGCATATCTTCGGGATCGGAAAAAGAGTCAGCACCTGATACATTTCTCTTAACGTCTGTTTTTTTTTCTTTTTTCCACCCCTCCCCCCGCCCCCTTTATGTTGATAAATTAAATTTAGTAAATTCTGCTCTGACGAGCAGAAATCGAACTTGTAAATGTTGAGAGTTGCACAACTACGTTAACCGTTCGAATGTTTGGATCTGATCGTTTGCTCATGAAATTTAATAATGCCTGATGGCATTAACGACGTTGTATATTGTTATATACGTTAATGCTGTCACGTTTATTTCATTCGTAAGTTTATACAAGTAACGCGTTGATTCAATGTATATGAATAATGAATTTGAGCGAGATTTGTGATCCAAATAGATGCAGGTTGTAATTAGGTAGGTGTAATGAAAGTATAATAGGTATATACATATATATAATTTCATTGATGTTACTTGAGAGATTCGAAGAAACTGGTCGTTGCATGGTGTATAAACGTACAAAAATTTGCACCGTAAATCACCTTTCTTTAAGAGAAGAAAAAAAAAAAAAAAAAAGAAAAAAAAGAAAAAGAAAAGAAACACGCGCTCGGAAGACGGCCATCTCGAGATTTGCTTCTTGCGATAGCGCACAAATGTTCGAGGGTGGAGGGAGGAAAAACGTGCGAAGAAAATTAGACTATAAAAATTGGGATGGAAATGAAGTGAAATGAAGTGAAATGAAGTGAAATGAAGAGAAAGGAATTAGTAATAGTGAGAATTCGTAAGAAGAAAGTGTCGATGTATAGCCGTGAATGTTTGCGATCGATGTGAAGTAGCAACCGACGCATTGGGTCGCGTCAATCAAAGTAGCACATTTGGTGACAGAAACAATGTTCCTTGTTCAATGCTTGCCTAACACGTCTAACTTGGTTTGCGTCTGACTGACGTCATTGACCTGGTGGCTCGTTCGTTCGCTCAGATGAAGGGGATGCCCGCTTTCCCTGGCTCCCACGACCTGCGTTTCTGTCAATTTGTTGCCGATAGAAGCAAACACTTGTTGCAACCGGTGAGATTAACTTCTAACAGACCCTAGCCTGTATGATATCCTCCTACATCATATGACTCCTAGCGTCAACTCTACATTCTCATTCCTTTTCTTTCTTTTCTTTTCTTTTCTTTTCATTCGTTCTTTCGTTTCGTTTCGTTTCGTTTCATTTCATTTCACTTTGTATCACGTCGTTCATTTCACTCGCGCCTTTTCCCCTTCTTTTCTTTATTCTTTATTCTTT